GTAAGAACTCTTTCACGCGTATTTTATTCATTTCAACTACTACGCGTATTTTTGATTGAAGTAAAACTTCTTTGGCGTTGACGGAATATATCACTGAAATGATTAAATATTTAGTAACGTTATAAGTATATGTCATAATTATTTTAAAAATATGACATATACTTTTGACGTTACTTCCGTCAGAAAAAGCGTTATTTCCGGAAGTTTTTATTTGCCTATTACAATTTTAATGTGAATATTATAAAATTGAGAATTTTAAGAACAACTTGACATTGGCGTAATTGTGATAACTCACAAAGCAAGCCATTAATAAGAAGAAGAAGAAGCGTTATTTCCGTCAGAAAAAATCTGAGTTACTCCCTAGTCGCGCCTAAAGAAGTCATTCAAACGTAGTGATTACATTCTCTTTGAAGTCCTTCCGCTTCGTGCTCTCGTACGGAACGGACGTCTCGCTAAGACGGAGGGCACATGCCACCCGAATTAGACGCCACTCGCAACCTCGGTTGCAATTTAAATCTTGTGCAAATAGTTTAGTGTTAGTGTAGTGTTGTGCTCGTAGGCAGGTTCCTGTTTTGTAAGTAGAATCCTACACACACTTCTCGCCTCACAGGCGGCATTGTATCATTTGTTAACAGTGTGCTTGTTGCAATAGGCGACAGCTAGGTACCCACCCTAGCGCACCTAAAGCGCAGGCAAATTAGTTGTTATTTTTAGGCACACTCCTCCCTGCCGCAAGGTGGGGAGGCTTATTTAGCTCACACTCCGGCGGGGCTACAAGCCCCAAAGGCACTTACGTCGCGATGGACTCCCTTTTCGAGGAGTTCGTACGCAGAGAATGCCCCGCTATGTGGGAACGTTTTCTTGCCTATGCAGCCGAGCATAGGCAAGTAGCTGAACTCGCGACACCGCCATTGCCCGCGCCGTCTGCGCCCGTTACCCTGTCGCCCTCCGCGACCTTAGAAGTGCAACCAAACCCGACCTCTTTTCCCTCCGTCGTACCCAACTCACAATCGGACGGCGGATCGGACATGGAGGTCGAAACGACCCCCGCTGAAAACGCGAACGCCGACGGCTTCACCGTCGTTAAATCGCGTAAAAAAGGCAATTAACGCCCCGCTAACGACAGCGACCCCGAATGCGAGGCCGCCTCAACGATCCGTCCCACCGCGACGCCCGCTAAAAAGGCGGCCGGCTAAACCGATCCCCGAATTCGCCTCCAAGTGAAAAATAAAGCCTCCTCCACCCATCATCATTCAGGAGAAGGCTAAGTGGCACCAAATTTGTTCGTGGTTTGAACGCCACAATATCCTCGACCCCCGGTCGTAAAACACGCATATGGGTATCCGCGTATACCTTGATACTACGGATGACTTCCGCCGCGTAACTAAGTACTTGCGCGAAAACAAGATAGGTTTCCATACCTACTCGTTGCCCGAAGAAAGAAAACTTCGGGTTGTAATCAAGGGCGTCCCGAAAGAATCGGATGTCGATAGGGCTAAGGTCGACATCCGCACTCAGGGATACCCTGTGCACGCCGTGCGTCGCCTCAGACACCCTCGCACCCGTGTCCCTATGGACATGGTCATGGTCGAACTTGACCCTACCCCGGAAAGTAAGGCCATCTTCAACCTGAAGAGGGTCTGTGGGCTCAGTGACTTAGTCATCGAGCCCCCGCGCAAGTCAGGAGTTGTGGCTCAGTGCCACAACTGTCAACATTTTGGCCACACGGCCAACAATTTCTTCGCTCACCCTAGGTGCGTCAAATGCACCGGTGACCACGCCACGACTGAGTGCACGCGGCTGGACACTCTTGTCCTGACCAGCTATACCGCCTAACGGAGCACATCCTAAAAGGCCTAAACCACCTCTTGTCTTCGATGTCGCAAAGGCATTCGACAAGGTCTGGCACAATGGCTTGCTTTACAAGCTGTACACACTCAAAGTGCCAGATAGACTCGTATACACCATCGGGGCATTTTGTTGAATCGCTCTTTTCGATATCGAGTCGAGGGCACCCTCTCCACAAGCCGCCGCCTCACGGCCGGCGTACCACAAGGCTCCTGCCTCTCACCTTTGCTCTTTACGCTCTACACGAGCGATATACCCAAAGACACCCACGTCAATCTCGCGCTTTTCGCGGATGACACCGCGCTCTTTTATTCAGACCGCAACCTTAGAATACTAACCACTCGACTCCAAAGCGCCGCCGACCGCCACGGCGATTGGTTCCGCAAATGGAGAATAGAAATAAATCCCGATAAGAGTGTGGCGATTCACTTCACACGAAGTACTTACTCGTCACATCTTTATAATGGCCCTCGCCAATGCAGAAAGTTGGGGCAAATATCCCTTTATGGCCAACCGCTCCCCTGGGAAAAAAAGGTCAAATACTTAGGAGTCACTTTCGACTCGCGTATGTCATTTACTACGCACATTAAAAACGTTCGTAATAGAGCCGCGTTCGTCTCCGGCCGGCTACACAATTTAACTAACGCTAAAAGTAAAATGCCCTTAAGGCACAAATTATTATTATTTAAGACCTGCGTACGACCTAATATGTCCTACGCATGGATGATCTTCGCCCACACGCACCCTACTCGCTTGTACAAGCTGCAAATAGTACAAAATAAGTTCATCCGCCGTGCAACCGGTGCGCAATGGTATCAACGCAACGTCGATCTGCACAGCGATTGCAGACTCCCGACGATTCGTTAATATTTTAAAGACCTGACCAAACGGTTCTTCGATAGAGCCGAACATCATCCCAACCCTCTGGTGGTAAGCGCAGCAAATTACCAACCCGACACAAACGCGAACGTCAACAAGCGTCGCCCGCGAAACGTCCTCATCGATCCGGTCGAGGAAGGGGACTTAGAACTGTGGTAGGACCTCGCAACAGCCTCGGCTGTTGCACGAATGGGCAGGCCCGTCCGGGTAAGTACCACGACCTCACCCGGAAGACCAGCGTAAAGTGGAAGTATGACAAATACTTTCGCGTTTCGTCTGGTGAGTGAGGTAGCCGGAGCCCAATTTCAAAAGGTTGTCAACGCATCTGTAACCCTCGGGTGTGGCAGATGTCCATGGGCGGCGGTATTCACTTACCATCAGGTGAACCGTCTGCTCGTTTGGCAACTTTTCACATAAGATACGCCGGACCCACCGCCGGAGGTCCCGCCGGATAACACTACACCCACAGCTAGTGTAACAACAAACACAATACTTCGCCCTCGCCTCCGAGCACGGCGAGACCAACACAACGCGTACACAAGGTACACCCGAGTTCCAGGGCGGTTCTCACCGCCCCCAGCCACCGATTAGCTAAAAACACAGTCGACGGCTATCGGGGTCTCGGTCCGCACCGCAACTTCGATGGCCCTTAGATGACATGTCGTAGTTAAACGCACTTATGAGCACATGCGCGGCCCTACCCACAGCGGAGGGCCCAAACCCGTGGGTTCTAGCTAGCCCACCGGTTCTGCGTCAGATGAAGCTTTAATAGTCTCGGGACTGAAAGCAAAAACATCAGTTAATACAAGATACAAGATACAAGCCTAATGAAGTTTTACTTCAAAAAACTATTTTCTCTATTTCGTAAACAATCTTTATTGTAATATCAAGATTCAAGACATTTGATTGACAAATGATTTAGATGTAGATACTTTATTATTGGTCAATATATTCATAGTTGCTTAGCCAGTCCTAGTCAGTGAGGTAGTGATGCCACTTTAGACGTTTTCTTCCTAAATTTAGGAAGAAAAATATTATTGGTAAATTTTATTAGGAACATTTAAGGTTATTTTTTATCTAAAAACATTAATTTTTATTTAAATTTTTGAAAAACAAAATTACTAATCCAAAACGCAAACATTAAAAATCAAATTTGGAAAATCTGATTGCATGATTCAACTTTCGCGAGATAGTGTTGAATATGTATATTTTATCTATATTGGCTAACTAATGCAAGTTTATACGAACGCCTAATATTTTTATTCTTTCTCCTAAGTTATAATATTGAATATATGTTAAACAGCTTAAGACGAAATTGATATTGTAGATTGTATGTAGCCTTTAGATTTTATTGAAAATCAATAGCATACATCATTAATACGTACGTAATAACATATTAAAGTCTTATTTAGAGAGATAAATAATAACAAAGTGTGAAAAACTTATCGTTAGATATTTTGAAAATAATTCTAATAAGTGGAAAAAAAATGATATATAATATATTATTTTTTTTTCCACTTATTAGAATTATTATATAATATAAATTATATCTTTTTCTCAATGTTGCTTATTCCATCTATATATTTTACTTTTTAATCTAATGCTTAACATGTTTTTTTAAGCGAAAACTTCTAGCGCGTTGAGAACTTTTTGGGTGAAAAAAAAAAACTTATGGAACTCGCGTCCAACGTAGTGATAACATTCTCTTTGCTCGCGTCATCGTCCTCGGACGCTTTCCATGAGCTATGTTATGTGTACTGTGTGTATTTTTTCGGTGAACAAAAAGCCTGATCTCGTGTCGTAAAAAGAGAAATACGTTAAAATATATTCCTAGATACGGATATGGTAAACCATTTATTGTAGATTACCAGTATTTATAAATACTGTTATTATCATTCGGAGTGCCTATAAAATATGTTAATATTTTTTGAAAATAAAAATTTTAAATATATAATTTGAAAATAAATAATAATTAATCAATTTTAATTTTGACAATGTTTGTTTTCACTTCTGTTAAAAAACGATGTTATATTTTCTTTCTTTCTTTATTAAAAAAAGGGGTGGTTTTCGGAAATTTGGTTTGAACAGTTTCTTTCACAATTTAGAAGTATTCATTTTGAAGAGTTGGTAACACAGGTTCTTTTTTAAATTTTATAACTCTAACGAAACTTCAAACTTCAAAATAAGGATATACGGATGTGTAGGTTGTTTGTGTATTAATCGGTCGTTACATTACATTCGGCTTATTTGATGAACTTATTTCAATTAGCGCAATGGATAATCCTTTAACACCTAATAAAATCCTTAAACTATTACATTATGCAGAGGATAAATCTTTTAGTGCAAAAAAACGACTGCCCCTTAAAGAAGAAGAAACAAAGCGGTATTTCATTTTGCTGTTTTAATCTCGTTATTGATATTCTGTTAAGATCTCTTTAGTTAAACATTTGAATATTTGCCATTTTAGTGTGGACTTGCAGGAAAATGCTATGAATAAGTCGAGTATGCATTTTGAATCATCCTCTGGAATTTTGGACTTAGAAAGAGTTGAGGGTAAGTTTCTCTAAAATTGCATGGAATGATTATTTTGTGATCCATAATCAATGTACCTAAAAATAATGAAAAAATAAAAAATAATAGGGTACCATAATTAAGTTGCTAATGCTATTGCTATTTGCAATGATGATAAACATAAATAAAACATATTTGTCTTTATGTTAAGTATTATTTCTTAAAATTTAATATTGTTTGTTCATGTTTCATATCATACACTCCACCTGGTACGAGACTGTCCCACCCCTACAGTATTTCTATGTTTCAGTCTCAAAATAGATACAAAATACCCGCTCTACTAATCCATAAAATGAGGAATATTTTTTCAAAATTAAAAATTTAAAAAATTCCAATAGGGGATGCAGGGCCTGCACAACTTATCCTTTTAAGGGGGTAGTATCCCTCCTCCCTACCTGCCCCACCCCTAAATTCGACAGACGTCAATGGAAAGCTGTACCGTATTTACTAATTATTCAAATATACAATACAATAATTATCCTATTTTTAAGGATTTGGGGAATCTGGCGTTGGATTGATGTCATTAAGTAAATCTGTGAGTATATCTAAATTTATATCACACATAAATAAAGTAATTGTGTTATTTTCAAATCATCAACTTCTAACAAATATTTTTTTCTACATAGACTGCTTTTAATCCTGGTGAGATGACTGGAAGGTCAACAGGCACGGAGGATATAAAATCACAGACAGTAAACTTAGGCACAGCAAAGGTAGGAGATATGTTTGAGGAATATGGACGCCATTCATTCGCCTTGGAGAGTCTTACAAGTAATTTAGACAAGCAAACTCTGGAAGTTAATGATATTATGAGACACTCAATTGCTACAAATTATTCATTTAATTCAAAGGTGAGTATTGCTACTGAGTATTAGGGGAGCAATCTTTAAGTTTCTTTTCCAAATAATTTAAATAATTTTTTTAACCTTCAATTTTTATTATAACTTTTTTTTGTGATTTTTCCATGACTTTGAAACTTTCTAAGTTAGAATTTTTATTGCATGTATTTAATTAAAAAAATACAATTCCTTTCTTCAATTCTTATAGAGAGATTTAACAGCAGATGAAGCATCTTTTGTGGTCAAGCAAGCCCCATTGCCAGTTCAACAAAGTGCACGAGTCAATATTACCACAGAAAACACTCTGTAAGTTAATTTTTTATTAATCTAAATACCAAAAACTCCTATAAAGTATTTCTTTACATATTTTCCAAAATTACTATGTGGCAAGGACCTTTGGCTGTAGATATTATCAAGTTTCCATCCCATATATAATTATTGGGAAGAAGTACAAGAAAAAGATACTGCTTAAGTATTATTATTTTTAACTTTATAATCGAAATCAATGCCAAATAATCATGATGTTTGATACATTATGAAGTTAAGGACAATTTTTTTTTGTAAAGACAAAACACCAGCTTTATTCTTTTACAGAGAAAGCAACACAAATATGTCAATGGGATCTTATTTTAAGAATAGGTGTCCGGAATTTTCAAATATTCTTGGGAAAACCGATAGCCCGAATAGGTCTGTGCGACCCAGTATCAGTGAAGGTATTTAATAACAGACACTATGCTTAAAAATGTGAAGATAAAACTGCAAAATTTTTCGCTACTTCCAGGATTCGAACCTGCGCTTTCCAGCTTATATTGTCAAACACTCTAGCCACTAAGCTAAGCATTTGATATGCTCACCATGCAAAATTCTCGCTCGACGACTTACTTACTTCGTGTTTATTGCATTTGTAACAATGCTTGCCATTATCTAATGTGATTCCTTTATAAAAGCAATTAAACTTTCAAAATTCGTTATTTCTGAGAAAAGTTATAGACTATGCATATATATACTGCAGAGTTAAGGCCTATGTGCAAATTGTATTATTACATAGTCCATCATGAGACCCCATCAAGGATTGGTGGACTTCACATTTCTTTTTTTTTTTTTTTTAAATTTCATTTCAAAGTCATACTGGTTTCCTCAATGTTATCATTCACCACTGAGTATGTGTTAAATCAGCATTTAAAATTGGGCATTGTTTTTGCCATTCTTAAATGTTGTACCTTCATACAAAATTTTATTTTTATTTTATTGAATGAAAATAGAATTTAAATAAGTTTTAGTGATTTATTTATATTTATGAAAAATATATTTATTAAATATATTAATATCATAAATTCTAATTGCAGTTTCTACATCAGTCCCCATGAAGTCTAGTGAAAATGAAACCAACAACCCATACAAAATGGACCAGTCTTTAGATTGTGTCCCAGTAAGACAATCAAGAAGTGCCAACAATGGCAAGGCATCTATTAAAGAATCTACATTCAATATAAATCCCAAAACTTTGCAATATAGCTATGCAGTTCCAGAAATATCTGTTAACAGCTTTAGTACAGACATACCACAGATTAAAAAGATAGATAAATACAATTCCACTCCAATGAGTAACATTTATAAAGTGGAAAAAGATAATAGCAAAATTGACCAAAAATTGCTGCAACAAAGGTATTTGCAGTCACTAACTGCTGACCAGTTTTTGAAAAGAGCACATCCATCTCCATTTCAAATACCCACCGAGGAATCTGGCGCATCCATTGACAATGAAAACACTGAAAATTCCCTCAGCATATCCAAAATAGCAGATTACTTAGGTATTGTTATAAAAATTACAATTTATTTTGCATATGTAATCATACAGGGAGGCTTTTCTAAGTGTATTCATTTTTTTATTACATTCTAGACATAAATAATGTTATATAAAAATGATAAACATTTAAAATCACTCCTAATTAATTAAATACATTCATTTGAACTTATTTTTCGCGCGATCATTCATAACTAACACGCGCACAAGTTCGTTTCAAAAGTATACGACGCATTTATGAATGACTACCACATTGTCAACAAGTTCTGTTTTTTAGGGAATGGAATGGCAATTTTTTGAAAAAATAAATGTAAACAATTATATTACTGAGTCTGAACCTCCTGTGTGAATTTGGGCATCTTTAGAAAAGCCACTCAGTATATAGAGAAGTTTTAGTTATGTTCATAAAATTTTTCAGGAAAACAGTCAAATGTGAGCATTACTGGCATGCTTCAATTAAATAACCAGAAAAAACAGATGAGCAAAAAGCAGCCACTTTCAGAGCTACACATGAATGTGCAGAACACTGGAAAAATTGACGACAAAATGCTTGTGACTAAGTTAAAAGATGTCAGGAAGATGGAAACAGCAAGTTCAGCAAGTACAATGAGCACGGTGATTTCCCTTGACAAACTAAATATAAATCAAGAGAAAACCGAAATCCCAGCTGTGGTCATTACTCGGCATTCAATGAACAAAAATGAGAGTCATGATATAGAGAATAAAAGTAGAACTGTCAGATCAAAATCTCCATCAAGCAAGAGCCAATCAACTATGAGCACAGTGCAAGAAAACTTTACAAGTTTCAAATCTAATGATAGCCCACTTCACAACAGCAAAGGTATTCTTGATATGTTGTATATACTATATTATTACATAATTATCATTAATATTTCAATTTTATGACACATTATTTAGTTAATACAAAACTTTTATTAATCATAAATATTTTACTATTGTTATATATATCTAAATATTTTATTAATGTTAACAGATACATATAAAACCATCTTTGGTTTAAAAAAATAATCATATTATGTATATAAAAAACATACACTCAAAAATTAAGATTTTTATTGAAGACAAAAGGTCTTTGCTCCATTTAATGTAACCGTAGGTAATATCATATGACTATGAATTTGTTTGTAACAATAATATGTAGTGAACATTTTCAGGCGAGGCTAACTTGACACACATTCCTTCCCCAAATGTTGAATATAAAGAATTAGATAAGTCAGTAGATTGGCAAGAGATATTACAGCACAAAAATTTGAAACAGGAGAGCTTAGCTAAAGGTTTGTGGGCCTCGCTTCAAATTGCTAAAATGATAAGAGTGTTATGCAATACTAACAATTTATACTCATAATTTATATTAATTATGTTTAACATAAGCCAACAACTAGATAAGATATTATAAGGGTGAGAAGAAATAAAATTAAGTATTTAAACTACAAATTAACTTTATATTGCTTTAATAATACTTATTAATACAACAATTTTAAGTCTGTCTACTACATGCATAAGATTAACAAAAAATCTTTTAAACTGTGCTCTGGCCGACTATTTGATTTAGATATTTGTTTCAGAACAATGGGCAGAAATCCATTCTTCTGTTGTCAATGGTTTTGTTGGTAAGTTAACTAAATTTAAATTTGTAGAAAAAGTACGAACCCACGTCTTTGAAATTCGCGGCCTGACGCTTTAGCTACTAAGCTAAACGGCAGATTGCCACAACGACAAAAATCGTAACGTCTTTTATCTTCATTGTGTTTTAGCATTTGAAGCAATGCTTGGCGCATCCATTTGTTATATCCTTTCCAGTATATAAACAATTTCGAATATCGTTTTACAACGATAATTAGAACGAGAGATGTCGCCATTGCTTTGCAGAAATTTAAAATTTTTATAGTGCTAACCTCTGCACTTAAGAATCAACATTAAAATTTGTAGAAAAGATACGAAAAGATTTTCGCCACTATAAAAATTTAAAAGTTACCTAAATTTTCACACGTTACTTTCGAATAAAGACTAATTTTATTTCATGTCTGAAAGAATTAATCTTATAAACTTGCCTCTAAAACTTCTTTATGTTTCAGGAACTAGCAGTGGAGCTGCTATTACAATAACAACACTTACGGATAGTTGGTTGACAGCCAAATTTCAATTCAATAACTTACCCAATTTTGGACGCGAACTGACTATTGAGCTTCCGCGACAACCCTTGTTACTATCGCCTGGAAAAACTGAGCAGTTCTCATTGCACATTATATCAAATGTCGAAATGAATGCAACACTTCCTTTCTCCGTGTATCTCAAAGACGCTTCCATTGACGGCGAGATAGAACAAAACGGCGAGTTACAAGTGAACTTCAAAATGCCGACGATCCAGGCCCTGTCTTGCGATGGCATGAACAAAATAGCGTTTCCACCCATACACGAAAACTCTTCGCTAACTAAATATTTTGTAATCCTTAGTGATTGTCCGGTTGATTTGCAACTGGATTTGTCGATTGTCGAAGGTGACAGTATGTTCACCATAAAAAGTGTTCAGGAAATTCGCAAAAACGACGTTAGCAAGGCTCTAATGGAACGACACGACTCCACCGAAGCAGATCAGCCAAGAGCAGGAAAAACCAAAGGAAAGATTTCTAATAAACAGCTGTGTAGACTTACAAGTGGTAATGCCATTCGAGTTTCAATTATGTTCACCGCTCCCAAGCTCTTTGAATTGGATTTAAGTAAGTAATAGATCACTTTTATGATAGTCAAATAGTAGGTAGTTATGCAATAGTGGTTTTTTTTTAATGTGAAAAGTTGACAAGCGCACAGACGGTTGTTAAGACTGATGTTAAGTGAATACTGCCGCCCATAGACATCTGTTACACCCGAGGGTTGCAGATGCGTTGACAACCTTTTGAAAATTGGCCACCGGCCACTCACCAGACGAAACGCGAAAGTATTATTTCCACTTTACGCCAGTCTTCGGCGAGGTCGTGGTACTTACCCGGATGACCCTTACATGAATGGGCAATCATGTAACAGCCGAGGCTGCTACGTGGCCCTACCACTGTGAAAGTAAATGAAAGTAAAGTGGTTAAGGTAAATGAGCAAAAAATATTTTTATAAGTTATCTTGGTTGTATTATATTCTTCTTTATTTAATAAAAAGGAAAATATTCCAGCCTTAATTCCACTTGCCCTTTTATTAGCCGCACTTAATTTTAGAAACTCTAAGAAGCATGTATATGAAATGTGCGCTTCTTGTAGATAGATAGTTTTCGTAAATTTTTTTTCAGCACTGTGGGATTAGAACCTACGTCTTCGGGTAATGCACGCAGACGCAATGCGCACCATCTAGCATGCATGTTTTTTTTTACTTTACAACATTACAAACACAGGCACTTTTCAAAAAATATATTTACAATGAATATTTCAATAGCAGATGTTTTCTTTGCTATTGAAATTTATGGAAATATATAAAAGTAAAGTAAAGTATCAGCCTATACATGTCCCACTGCTGTTTTCCTTCACTGCTGATAATTCAGCACTTGAAATTAACAATTTCATTGCTGCCCGCACCGGGGATCAAACTCAGGTTGCTTGAGTATATTGAACTAAAGGTGAGCACCCGGACACTGAGCTATCATGGTTCTATTAATTTATATTTAACCCTGTTCCTTGCACTCGAGATGAAACTTGGAATGTGAATTATTTGTAGGTCATCTTGAGACTTGCAGACCAAGACATTAATCATTAGGACAGAAAATTAATCATTAGTATGTGTATCTTTAAATGATGATAAAAAACAAAATCATCCAATTAATTTCGTAATTATTTACTTGGCCTATTTCAGCAGAAAATGCCATCACTTTTAAAGGTGCTTTAATGGTACACCTTATTGGAATAAAAGCTGTGCTGAAGACAGTTGATCTCATAGGTGTTGTTGCATCAGCCAATTTAGAAATTGACTTACCTTCGCAAACATTGCAAATTACAAATGGTAAGTTTTTCTTGTTAATATTTATTAATTCTTTTAAAGGATTGCCATTGAAGTTAAAGATATACTACGCGGGCTTATAAAATTATTTTGGTATTGACACTTAACATGAGACACGATAAATTTCTGTACAAATGTATGATGATAAAGGATCTTTAACACTCAGTTGCTAGAGTCTCTCAGAATCTGAGTGAACAGGTGTGAATGATATTCGAAGTTTTGAAAGTGTGACTTTGGTGCAATATCATCAAATAATAGTTATTAAAAATTTATATTATTTCGAAAATCTGCAGGTTTCCTCATGATAAGTCAGTACTTAATATTAACAATTTAATCGGTTTCATTATTTTCATGTCATTCATTTTGTTTTAAAAAGCATCGCCCCTACTGTAGGATAACATTATCCTGTGTTGTAAGGACGTTTTACAAACATAAACTTAACGTGGACCAACACCCAGATGGGAAACAACTATCTGTGGGTCACGCAAATAGTTGTCCCCGCCTAGACGACAAGACCCCCGACGCCGAAGCCAATACCTTGGTAACTGCGCCACGGAGCCATCAGGTTGCTCTAATATATTGAATTAAAAGCGAGCGCCCTAACAGTGAGATATTACGGTCCCTAAATAACATTAAAAATAACACCAATAAAACTCACGTAGCTGCGGGGCGGCAATATGGGGACTTGTGTCCACTTTGCAAATTGTATTACTTTCAAAAGTGGTGAATATATCTCAACACTGTGCACAATATGGCATGCTTAATTTAAATGAAAAATGGTTTTATTTAATAATAGTAAAATTAGACTCCACATTGAACCAGTAAACCTAAATAGCAAGTTGAACCAATTAAGAAGCGTTTGTATTGTAGCGACCCGCCCCGGCTTCGCATGGGTGCAATGTATTATACATATAAACCTTCCTCTATCTCTCCACTCCAATCCGATGCGTAGTTTTAAACATAGATAAAGGTAGAAAGCATACATAGGGACAGAAAGACAGACAGCGGGACAACTTTGTTTTATACTATGTAGTGATTGTTTTTAAATATTGATAATTAATTTTCAGAAACCAAGTCCATAGCTTTAAGAAACACTGGATCTATAACAGGTAATTGGATTATCAGAGTTAAGGAAAAAATGTCGTATGAGAATAATGTACCGTTTCAAGTGTCACCACATAGAGTCGAAATACGTCCTGGATGTGAAAAACAAATAAATATATCATATACTGGGCCACAAGATGTTGCACATGAAGCGTAAGTATAATTTAGATTAAAGAAAATAAGCCCCATTTAAATATATAAATTTGTTTAAGGATTATAAGAATCTTTGTTTGCAGAATTTTATTGCTGGAAGACATCAATTCTGGTAACACAAAGACCGTAGACATTTGCGGTGGTACTGATAAGCCAAAAATATTCCCCATCAAAACCAACTACAGTACTATGTCTTGGGTACGAGTGGGCAGGAAGGAGCTTAGCTTGAGAAACTCCACAAACAAAAAGATCCAGATACGTTGTCAGATAGTAGGCGAAGGATTTTCCATAGACCTACCAGGAGTGGAGTCCAGAGGACCCTATTGTGTGTCCTTTGGCCCCAATGACTGTCGACCGCTGCCTATAGTGTTTGCACCCAGCTCCACTGCCCCACATACAGCCGCCCTACATTTAGCGTACGATAAAAGTTGCGAATTTTCAAGAAAGGTATTTACATATTATTATTTTCGTACATTTCGAGGTTAAAACAAATACTTATTAAAAGTAATGTTTTTTTTTTATCTTTTCCACTATCAATCACCTAAATTGTGACATCTATTATTTTTTCTTTGTATTACAAAAGTAAGGGAAACAGTCTTTTTAATGTTATTCAACATAGAGCTAAATTTAAAAAAACACTAGGTGTTTTTTATAAAAATTTGTACTAATATGTAATCGCAATCCGCACCACAGTTGATACACGAAATTTCTGGTTGTTTGTTTTGCTGTAAAACGTACAACTGTCTCCTAGAATTTCGAAGTGATGAGCATTACTTGAGTCATGTGTTTGTTATTAAAGATTCGACTATTAAAACGAACACATCTTTGGGCTGTAATGCTGAATTTGTTTCTTGGGAGAAAGGTGGTTTTGCGTCGCGCGACTATCATCATTTCTGTCGCACCGGTAAGCGTCGTGACCGTGACCATGAGCTCTGCAGTGGCAGATTTGCAGTATTCGCCGCCCTAGGCGCCAGGTCATGATTTAGGAAGATTATCCTTAAACGATGCGGTGAAGTGCGGCCCGCCGTAATTTGCGCAAGCTTTCAGACTATTTAGGTACTTAGTTGTTTCTTGTGATCATCATTGAGTTTTCACGATTAGACGCCCCTAACATCTGGCTGCCTAGGCCCGGGCCTACTGGGCCTTAGGGCAAATCAGCCCCTGCCTCTCTGCCGTGTGTCAGTCGTGACAGTGACCTCTGCCGTGTGTCAGTCGTGACCGTGACCTCTGCCGTGTGTCAGTCGTAACCGTGACCTCTGCCGTGTGTCAGTCGTGACCGTGACCTCTGCCGTGTGTCAGTCGTGACCGTGACCTCTGCCGTGTGTCAGTCGTGACCGTGACCTATCTACTGTGTGCCAGTCGTGACCGTGACCCCTCGCAGGTGAAGCTGTTCGGGTGCGCGAGCGGCGAGTGCGTGCGCTGGAGCGGCCTCGTGACGTACGGCGACACGGCGCTGCTACGGGCCGCCGCGCGCTCCCCCATTAGTGTCGCCCTCTACAACAAGTACAGCGTGCCCGCCTTCATCTGCGCCCGGGTTCACTTCAACCGTTAGTGCCGCTATACCGACTCGCTTTCTGATTGAACATCGAAAGGGCTGGATTTGCATAGATGCAGTGGGATTTTAATATAGTAGCTGTTACTTTGATGCTATGTTCATTGAATTACATAATCAATGAAATGGTTTTATCGATTTCCTGAAAAAAAGTGTTTCAGAGGATTTTAGAATAGAGCTCGCCATGCGCCTCTGGTGTAGATCTGTGGACGGCTCGTTTTTAATTCAATATTCTCTAGCAATCCGAGTAAAAATCTCAGTGGCCGAACCAATGAAATTGTCAATTTTAATTTCTGAATTATCACGTATTCAGCGGTGAAGAAACGTCACGAGAAAATCAGCATATTTTTTTAAAATACAAAAAAAAATCGTAAATATGTAAAGTCCGCAGTGGGCTCGCATGGTGAACTATGCCCTAATGCCCGCTGTACACAGATCTTTGCCTTGCCAGCTTGACATATACATATAGGCTGTTATTTTACGTTATTCCACATGACTAAGAATTTTCTGATTAATTCCTTTTCCTATGCGCGTAGAGCGCCACCCGATATAGTGATTGATAATTTGGTACATTTTGAACGTGCGCAGTGCGCAGTGCAATACCGGTGCTGCGAGGGCAGCTCGCGGCTGGAGGGGGCGCGGCGGGTGGTGGGGCCGCGCAGCGCCCACTCGGTGGTGCTGCGCGTGGAGTGGGCGCGGGTGGAGCGGCGCGCGCGCTCCGTGGCCGCCAGCGCGCTCGCCGCGCTCACCGTGCTCGCGGGGCCCGAGCTCACCCGCCGCAGGATACTCAGGCACGTCGCCCGCGCTTCCCCCCACTTCATACAATTGTCCAGTCTTTCGTGAGACGTCGTAACTACATAATTCAGCCACGTCTCGACTGAAGTCACGACCAATTTTTGTGTTTGACTAGTTTCGGACCCCCTATCGGAGGTCCATGAAAGTGAGTGGGATGAATTCGTGTAATTACTGTGCGCAGATTATTAATATCCAGCTCTGTCTGCGGCGAGCGGCGGATAATTGTTCCCATTTCGCGGCATAGTCTAAATCTCTATATAACAATCTCAGTACACGTTGATTCGTGTAGTGGATAGTTTGTGAAACGATTTTTGTACTTTTCATTGTGAGATCAAATGCAAAGAACTTCGGCCAAGTGCACTCAGTTTTTAAAAAAGAAACAAAATGGACTAGGTATTTTCCCTGCGGAACAATGATACGACTTCCTCCTTGCCCCATCTCGTATAAAATGTTGACACTTTCGAAAACCGTGCGTCAGTCAGTCAATGGTCCAATAATTCTGAACGATTTTTTAATGAAGATTATTCACGCAATAAATTATCTTTTTGCCAAGAGAGATTTAACGCCACATACAAACTGATGGGCAGAATAAACTCTGACAAGACAGAAAGACTGTAAGTGCGCGTGAGACCGAATTTGAGAAAAATAATTTATGTAATTTATTATGTTCATTTACTACAGTTAACACAATATTCGTAAATAGCATTTAAATATGATAATGTTTCTTACAATTTCCATATACTATAATATTTAAATATATATTTACAGAATCATAAGAAACAAAACAACCGGGGAGCTGGATACTTCCCTTTTACCAGATCATCTAAAGGTGTTGGCACAAGAATTCGAAGGGCAAAATGTAGTCTCGGATGAAGTCTTACAAGATTTTGAAGAAACAACGGTGAGGCAAAAACTATTTATCGTTTAAATATCTGGAACATGAATTTGTGTTTATTTGTTATTTATGAAATGTTAAATACTGTTTCCAGTCGTCGTTGAATGAGCTTATTGAAAGTCTACAAGAGTTGACGGCTCAGATTGACCTGCCTCAAGACTTCGCTGATGAAAACACAATCATAATCAACGACGACACTGTTTTGGAACATCATACACTTTGTGATTAAATTATTTTATTTTAAGGTTTGAAAGATTATTTCTGTTCATTTAATTGGTTTTGCGTCAATTTTATTATTCTGAACATAGTCAACGAAGTATTTTTATTAAACTTAGATTGAGTTTCAAGTATTATGTGCAACACTTTTATTATTTCGCTTATCACTTACATTATACATGATTTTGCTTTTATAATGTTTAAGTGGATCTGACATAAGTAAAAATGTTTAAATTATTGTATCGCCCAACCATTCTTTTTTAGTTAATATTTAAATCAACATTATTCATACCTTAAGTTAAATTATGCATATTTTTTTCACAGTTAATTAAATGTTTCATTTTTTTTATTAACATGTACTGTATGTGGGCTACTTAATAGTACTTAATATAACAGTAATCAAAAAATTTATATCCGTCCTAAGAAGTAATGAATAATGATTATGGCCAAGAAGTTGTTTTGTTCTCAGCTAACTTTGCTATGTAAAAAGTAAGAGTTTTCAATTAAATTTATATTTTTGAGTATTTAATATAATAAAGGTAATCATTGCAAAAAATAAGAAATTTCATTTAGTTTACCTTGTGCGTGGATTTTGAAAACAACGTTCAGATTTGATTAATAATAATAATAAATAGAATTTACTACTGTTGACCTAAGAATGGTCCTAATTTTAAATGGTTTCAATTTCCTTGTTAAGTATGTCCTTCGTGTTTCAAAATTATTTTCGTACAACTGCTAAGTTAAAGGTCGGCTCCGTCGCAAGATACATTTGAACGATAGTTGTGTCGATTCAAAAGTGGTCGCTTCGATGTTGCGGATAAGGATTGATCAAAACCATTGAAATCACAAAGATGGCAAGTATTGTTGGACGATGACAATTTACTTCCAGGTACGAATAGTAGATTCCAAGGTACTTGAGTCCTGCGTTCTTAAACAACTATCTCACTTTGTTTTTACTAATAACCTTTTAAGTCCATTCCAATTTAGGTCAGGACATAGTACCATCACCGCACTCCTAAAGGTGACTGGCGATATTAGGGCTGGCATGGAAGATACCAAAATCACAGCCATGGTGTTAATCCACTTCTCAAATGCTTCCTTCCTTCTAGCCATCCTCTCCCACTTTATGGTTTCTGATGAAGTACTTGTATGGATTTCTTCCTATCTTCGAGGGCGCCAACAGTAAACTGGCTTAATATTGCAACCGGCGTCCCTCAAGGCGGTATTCTCTCTCCTCTTTTATTCTCTATTTTCATTATCTTTGGTGTGTTTATCATCTCTATGCCGATGACTTACAATTATACGCTCAGGCAACGTGTGAGAGCCTCCCACAAGTGATCCAGGACATAAACCGAGACTTAGACATTATTAAAAGGTGGTCTGACAGGTTTGGATTAATAGTCAACCCTAGATGGGTGCCAGGCTACCGTCATTGGGAGTTATCGTACTATAGTCAAATTGGATTTAGAAAATCTTCCCTCGGCCAGAATGTAAAAAATCTTGGTTTACACATTGACATGACTCTGGAGTTGGAAAGAACAAATATCAAGTGTTAGTCATCAAAAACTAAAGCAACGCTTGTGCAGTACCTATATCCTTTCTTTAATCGACTATGGCGACGTGTGCTACTTTGACCTGAATGCAGATCACCTCAATAAACTAAACCGACTTCTGAATAACTGCATTCGATTCGTTTTCACTCTTCGTAAGTATGACCATGTTTCTTTCTATCGTTCTCAACTTCAGTGGTTACCTATTCGCCAACGCCGCTTCTTAAGAGCACTGACCACTCTGTATTTTCTTAATGCTTCGCCACTCCTTCTTACTTATCTCCACACTTTAAATATCTTTTCTCAGGCAATTATAAAAATCTGCGCTCAACGCATAATCCTCTTCTCCAGTGTCCTTCTCATCGTACTCGTTTTATGTACTCATCTTTCTTCGTCAAATCTATTCTTGTGTGGAATACGCTGCCTCTCGAAATTTGAGGTGGAATTTAATGAATTGTACATTTGTTTTTTTTTCTTAGAGTTTTTTTCGCCGGTTCTCCTCGGGTGCCTTTCTTTTCGAAGCGGTAGTAGTTTTTTGACAATCAAAAAGTGTAATGAATAAAGATATTTGAATTAGTCAAGTACTAGCCGGTTTTTGAGTGTTTATTCTAACGCCGTGGCATTCACAAATTGCCAGACAGATGGGAATAATATATACAAGGAATTTACTTTTATAACTCTTCTAAGGTGAATTGATGCCTTGAAGTGACGCACACGACCAAATTAAAAATATCGATATAAATAACGGCTTTGTAATAATTGGTCATTCATGTGCCGGTTCGACATCACACGATTGATTAGCACAAGTCGTTCGATCAGCGCGTCATCAAAATCAGACTTTTTATTTTTATGATGGTTTGTTTGCTTGTATGTATTTATAATTATATTAGGTACTCATATACATGCATTTATAAAAAATGCCAAAAAAAATATTGCGAGTGTACCATTCTAATTAATTATGAAGCGGAAAATGGGGTGATCTTACTGATTCTAGATGGTGTACTGCTCAAGCTTAAATGTGTTATTGAATCCACGATGTTGCGTATTTAGAGGGAAGAAAAACACGTTGAGAAATACGTCACTGATAATTTTTAAATCTACTGGTCTTCCTTCTTCCAGTTTTGATTTTGATGTATGTAAATTTCGAAAAACTATACCGACATTTCATGCAGAGTGTAATGAAGTACCCAACATTAAGAAAGTTTAAACCGATATTGGCAGACAGAATTTTAAAATCTGCGTACTTTTTCGAGGGAAGCCAGCTACGTGTGGTCAACAGGTGACAAACCGTATAGGCTTATTTGAAAAGCACGATATTCAAATGCTGAGCTATCATTGATTGTGACAATTTAAAAAAATATCGTGATGAGGGCCGATATACGATATATGAGCTAATGGTGCAAACAACCGAAAGAAGAATCAAAACTAAGAAAGTTATGTTAAAGATAATATCTTTCATATATTATATGAGTCATTACTGTGTGAACAGTTGGATTTGCTCCAAATCCATCCATGAGAGCGTATGGAAACACAAACAACATATTGATGACAATTTAACTGTCTAAAAACTGTTTGTAATTTGGTATTACAATAAAAAAATAAAAGCTAGCAATAAAAATCCACTTTAGTTCATATCATTTATTATTTTCTTAACCAGTTATATTTATTCCAATCGTTTTCCTATTTTTTTTTTCAAATCTTTGTATCTAAGAGATTCCGACTGTCAATCGCAATTGTCTGTTAGAAATTACCATTTGAAAATATTGCCTAGAACTTAACAAACTAAAATGCATTTCCACTTATTGTAATAAAATCATTAAACACCGCAAAATTATATATTTATATACAGGACTAAGTTTGACGGTTCACAGAATTCATACAGATATTTCTGCTAATTGTATTGTATTTTAATCCTTTACAACGAACCCCTGAGAATTTTATTTTATAAAGATAAATTGTCTCAAATAAATCTAAAACAATAGCTCTCAAGTGTTGGTCGCTGTGAGGCGTCCATCGTAAAGGACAAGTCAACAGTACATCAATCTTTGTGTAATTAAATCATGATTATATCTCTTACACAACGAAAATATTCTCCTAACGCACATCGTTTTCTTATACAAACATTCATCACTCAACATGCTTTCACTGAAGACACAAACACAATCATACAGTCTCACATGCATACATTCACAATTTTCGCATTTGGCAGTTTATCATAAGTTTCCTCACAAATGTCAATATTCACATAAAACTCTTATTTTTACATCTTCTTTTATTATTACAAAATAAAGTACCGCCTGTCTTTTAAATTGAATTTAAATTTCATTTTTATATAACATTTCTATTGGCCAGAGGTAAGATGTGAATATTAACCATATATAAAAGTGAGCTCCACGCTGGATATCTACTTGCCGTACACTCTACATATGAAAAAATCTTATTAAAATGGAAGTACTTATTTATAAATGATTTATAACAATTAATCCGGATGAAACAAAATGGCTGACTTTTAGTGCATCAAAAATACTATCATTCATTAATTTATTGTGTTCATAATTATTCATCTAAGATTTAAAAAAAAGAAGACATAACGCGGAGACAACATCATTGGGCACTCGAATGCACCAGAAATAGTTTTAGAAAAAAAAATATCTTCGGAATTGTACATCTAAAGTGACTCATTTGCGACGCAGTCACAAGTTGATATATATTTACATATACATCACACAGTCACACGTTACTTTTTTATACAATTGGAATTAAAAATACTAAACTAAAAAATAAACCAGTCACTTAATGAGCTACAAAATAGTATTTAAGATTGCCAACGTTACACTGGCCTAGTGCGCGAGCGGCGAATCATCGTCGCCCGTCGAATGCTATTGTTATAATAACAAAGACGTCTCTAACATTATTATTAATTGCCGAGGCTCGTGAGTTGTGTTGCGGTTTCGACCTAAAATATTTATTAGCGGGTACAAAATGGTCGCCTGGCGGCTAGGTGCCTGTTACCTCAGGTACCATTTGCTGCGAGAGATCAATATGGCTCCAAACGTGTGCGGCTTGCATTAGAGCGTTCCAGTGTTAAAATTAAACAATTTTGGTAAATAATTAATGCCGTGCCTAAACCTATAAATATTATCATACATTAATCATCAATAACGTGATAATCGGTAACGGAATAGTACCATTTTCTCCCACAACTTTGTAACTGCATTGAAACGGGTTTCTTTCGTTCAAAAATCCGCATATGATAGATAGAACTAAAATATAAGGCTTTTTGATAGCTTACACCAATTGATAAAATGTGTGTCGATCGTAAGACAATACTTTGTAAATGTAAAGATAGATTAGCGGGTTTTTGATTCGTTATTAAAGTATAATTATCACAGATAACATTAAAATAAAAAATAAGGTATGCATGTTGGAATCGTTGCAGAATGTGTCAAAGTAATTACACTTATATGTATGTACCAATTAAGAAACGAGATTCGGTGGATTTAAGGGAATTAATATAGTTTGATCAGACGTATTATGTACATTTATTGTTTTTCATATATATTTTTGGGATACTTTATACAATATATATATTTTTCTATAAAGTAAACTACCTTGCGTAATATGCAGTTACGGCGTGGCAATTAATAGAAAAATGGCTATTTGTATTTTCAGTAAAAAATATTCTTTAACTATGGGGCTGGAACTTCGTTTATTAATTGGTACAGTTGTAGCTCGATTGTAACGCAATCCTACCGAATAAGCTGCGCCCGCTTTTTCAACCTGTATAGTTAAGATTTGTTTGAAAATCCTCATAATTTTGGACAGTCTGTGAAGCTTGCCGAGAGGTCCTCAACTGCAACATCTCCCAGCGGCCCCTTTAGCACAAACGGATCGCATCGTGTTTTATATATAGACGAGCACGGAACGCGTTTAACATTGCTTATACGATACTTATACGGTGCGTGCGTGTGTTTCAGTACAAAAGTCCCTCGGTCCAGTAACGTTCGGACGCCGCATTCGTAGCGGCGGCGGGGCGGAGGAGGGAACGACGGCTCCGCAGAGTTGCGCACGAGAGGGGCGACGGGGCCGGGGGCCGGGGGGCGGTGCGGCTACGCGGCGCGGACGCGGCGCGGCGGCGGCACGGGGGCGGTGCGGCCGCGCGACCGCCGCTCCGCGTGCGCGCCGCAGTGCGGCTGCGGCGCGGTCGCCGCGCGGGGGGGGCGCCGCGAGCGCGCTCGGCTGCGGCTCGTGTGGGGGCGCCGCGCGGTCGCCGCGTCGCGCCTGTTGGGGCGCGGTGCGAGGGCGCGCGCGCAGACGGCGCTAGGGGGCGCGGTACAGCAGGTACGCGGTGAGCGCGGGGGGCAGCGCGAGGCGGGACGCGGCCGCGCGGAGGCGCGCGCGCCCCACGCGCTGCCGTATCACGCGCCGGCACAGCTCCATCAGCGGCAGCGGCTCCGCTGCAACCGCATCGTATATTTTCAATAAGGACACACTCCATAACATTTCGATTGTTCACGGATACAACGGCTCCTTGAGCGTCCACTGAAGCTAAATTTTCATAGCAATCGTAACATTTTGAATGAAATTACTCATTATATACCGGACGATTATTTTTTAGTTCAAAAAGCTTTGCAAAGATTAAACGTTCATTAAGTCCGCAAACCCAATACCAAACACTAGCATAACAATATAATAACATATGTGCAGGATAGTGGCTAGCAAACTTTTTTTATGTGAGGAAGTGGCAAACGCGCTGGCGGTTCAGCTGATGTTAAGTGATAACCGCCAGCCCATGGACATTTGCAACACCCGTAGGTTTGCAGATGCGAGCCCCAGCTCACTCATCAGACAAAACGCAGTAGTGCAACACTTCTACTTAACGCCGGTCTTCTGTGAGGTCGTAGTACTAACCCGGACGGACCTGCCCATTCGTGCAACAGCGAACACATTTGTGTGGCCCTACCAGCGCAAACATCTTGATAAATGCATTAGACTGCTCAGTAGTCGACGTTAAGGTAGAGTGGGCGGCATAGAGGAAAGGCGTCGACTTGCGCAGCCCAAGGCGTCTGCCGGTCGCCGTACAATTGCAATTGAACCGGTCCCCTCAACTCACGATCGAGGCCGCCGATGTACTTCATGGTGATCTCCGCGTGGCCCCACACCGCCGACACGATGGGGTAGAGCGTTTTGCCGCGCAGGCCGCGCGCCGCCACGCCCAGGTAGCGGCCGTCCGCGCAGAACGCGAGCGTGCCCTCGTCCATGTCGAGCACCACGAGCAGCCGGTCCGGCACGAGGAACTGCTCGTCGGGCCGCAGCAGCCCCGGGTACGTGGTGCCGCTGCCGCCGGTGCCCTTCGCGTTGTGGTACACCTGCGAACGCCGCAAACGTTCAACGTTTCTTATGACTACCATTATATTACTTGTATAGTTATTGCGTCCAGAGTCTTGAAACTCGGAACTAATTCCTCTCGCAAGTCAAGAGCAATAGTAGCGATGATGTTTTTTTTTATGTGAAAAGTTGACAAGCGAGCAGGCGGTTCGCCTGATGTTAAGTGAATACCGCCGCCCATGGACATCTGCTACACCCGAGGGTTGCAGATTCGTTGACAACCTATTGAAGATTGGGCTCCGGCCACCTCACTCACCAGACGGAACGCGAAAGTTTTTGTCATACTTCCACTTGACGCCGGTCTTCTGTGAGGTGGTGGTGTACTTACCCGGACGAGCCTGCCATTCGTGCAACAGCCGAGTCTGCTGCGTGGCCCTACCACAGTTAACGTACGTGACACCGTGGAACCGTTTCTGAATCGCTTACACGAATGCTCCTAGTTTTGATAAAGCCTCTTTAAACGTAAAACGTTAAACGTAAAACGGTAGACGACGACGGATTCAGTTGAACATGCTGAGATGGAACCGTTTCTTCATAATGCTTAATTTTATTTACACGAATGCACCTAGTTTTTTTTTTAAAACTTACATTTACCGCTTTTATCGCGGTTCATTTTCGATTTTAATTTCCGACCGTTTATTATTATATTTATTATAATCCTTTTTGTCGTCCAATTTTGGACGTTTTAGTATAATTATTGTATTTACTGGTTACTAAATGAGTGTTTAAATCACTCTTATATTTTATTTTGTATGTAAATTATAATCATTTATTAGATGTTTTAATAAAATTATTCAGGCTCCAAATTTGATTCCGGGGTCGCTTTGGACATAGGAGAGCATAATTATGTAAGAAACATAAGTCGCATGACGCTTAATGGAAGGAAGGCAAATGCATCGAACTTTATTTTTCTTTGACTACAGCTTTTACACTAAAATAAATTAATGTATTACACAATATGCTCTCACAAGTCGCAACTTTCGGGAAGCGATTTTAAAATAACCAGGGCCGCCGATGTTTGCTCCCTTGGTATTGGTAGGGACTTTCAATTCAGTAAGTTATTCCTCACAAACCCGCTAAAGTAATAAAACGTAGTGTAGTATTGCGAAGAAACAAAGTTTTCCTTGCTTCAATTAGTTATTTTATATATATTGCTCCTTTTGTGCTGGAAACAAAACTATGCTGTATGAAAAGAAAACATTCTTTTTGCATAATTTAAAATCTTACTTGGAATAAATGTATAGCAATAAGTTCTATCGGGCAAGTTTATAAGAATTGCAAACTGTCTTCATGTCGGAAATGTCTTTGGAGAGCTAGGGTAGGGCAAAAATACATTTAATTTACATTTGTTGTTTTGAGAACCAGTTTGTAATGTTAATATTTTTCGTTCAACAATTTATTAAAATATGATTCAATAAATATTTCATTTAAAAACCGCTTTTGTGCAATGGAAGATGGTTATTAACTCACGCAATAACCATCTTCCATGAAAAAAAGGGCTAGTCTCATACACGTTACAGCTTATAAATAAAAACATTAACATTTACAATTAACATTGATTAGGTAAATAAATTAAAAGCCTAATAAACCTATCCCATGAACAGCCAGTTATCAGGTTTAAGTTATAGCATCTAATACTTATTCTTTTGTATCCACAATCGTTGAGATTTCCGTGAAAGTAAACCAATAATTAGTAAAACTTTACAGTATTTAAAAAAGAGGTTGAAAAGAGGTTATTTAAAATGAAAATGTAAGCATTGTTCAAGACTGTCGGCGAAATGTCGTTTATTTTATTAGCAACTCAAGGCGGTGAGAATCGTAGTAAAGGACATACCATAGGAAACAACACACTATCACATTACAGGGTCATTGACGTCGTTCTAAGAAAGGGAAATTTCCGTACGTCATAACAAACAACTACATTTTCTATGACTACTCTGCGGTAGGTACTAATCTAGTCTTAGCAAGTTTCGCTTAGTAAACATCAACGTTATTCGTCTCTTGACCCTGTTGCGTTTTCACAGTGTTTTTCTAACATATTTATGTATCATTTCTTATAATCAAACACTTGAAAATTAACAACACCAAAACTGTATATTCTAGTTATGTGAAGAATGGAAACTAATCCATTTCTTTGCATATAATCAACCAGATGGCATTCCACGAGTCTAACGCCTGTTTCTGAAACTTTTTGAATTGATAATTCTCATCATCATTCTGATCATAATCATCATCTCAGTGTTTCAGAAACAGGGCGTAAGTTATGTAAAATTATACGTGCCAGTTTAGTCATCAAAATATTGAATAATTAATTTAATGTATCCATGGTATTATAATATCGTATAATGAACGCTGAACGCAATATGTGAAAAAATCTAATGTGTCAGTAGTCTTTAGTATCTTTTTAGTGGGTGCAACGAGACGAGATACGAATCATCGTACCATCGGTAAGCGTGCTAGCTCGTTTAAATCATGAATAGGTTTCGCGCTTAGTGAATACTCTTGTCTTGAACACGCCTACGTTGTAATCGTACGGAAAGACGGACGCCGGCTCTAAAAAGAAGAAGTGCCGAGCGAGACTCCCTCCTCACCTTGTTCCTGCCCAGGTCCCAGCCCCAGCTCTGGTCGGTGGCGCCCACTAGGCTCTGGTAGCCGACCGAGTGGAGGGGCGCGTGCGCCGTTGCCACGCCGACCACCGCGTGCGTGCCGCGTTGCCGCGCCGGCCACACCACCTCCCAGCAGTGCAGCCCGCGCGAGTAGCCCACCCGCCCCCGGATGCAGTCCGTGCTCTGCGCCACCGGGTGCCGGTGGAAGGTCAACGCGTCCTCCTCCTTAACGAATATGTTCAGCGATCTGCAAACGAACGGTGCGGCACAATTTATTACCCTGCTCCGAAAGAATTTCATTGTTTTCATAGGGGGTTTTAAATAGTCGAGTCAATGTGCGGATAAATATGGTGGGGCCACGCAGCAGCCTCGGCTGTTGCACGAATGGGCAGGGTCGTCCGGGTTAAGTACTACGACCTCACAGAAGAGGCATAAAGTGGATGTATGACAAATACTTTCGCGTTTCGTCTGGTGAGTGAGGTAGCCGGAGCCCAATTTTCAAAAGGTTGTCAACGCATATGTAACCCTCGGGTGGAGCAGATGTCCATGGGCGGCGGTATTCACTTAACATCAGGTGAACCGCCTGCTCGCCGATCAACTTTTTAAATAAAAAAAAATCATTGATACTATTGCTCTTGACTTGAGAGAGGAATTCGTTCCGAGTTTCAGGACACTCGACGCTAGAAGTATAAAAGTAATATTATGAATACCGTTTTAAGAGTTCGATTTGATTGACCTTTTAGACGGCACATACCTATGCGATATTCGGTCTAAACGAGACACTTGTAAGGGTGTATCGAGAACTTTACTGGATTTTAGCAAGCATTAGCATTTTTAAGATTAGCATGGACCCCGTGATCATTGAAGTTCAAAGTAAGTAATGATGAAGTGGTAGTACTAACAGCGAAAAATTATTAATATACAGCGTGTCAGTACAACCGCGGCAATAAATGAACACACATATAGAGGATAACTTTTTCAAAGTACAGAGAGATACGGTTCAATCTTTAGAACGTAATTTAGAGCTTACCCGTTTCCTAGGCGTCTCATCTAAAGAATCGAGTTATTCGCTTCACTCTTTACCATCAAGTAACTTGGTCACATTACTTGACGATGAAAGCTTACGCATTGCTGTAGAAATCCGTCTGGGGGCACCGATTTGTCAACCACACCAATGGCCTTGTGGTGTCAGTGTAGACAAATTTGGTCTCCAAGGGCTTTCTTGTCAAAAAAGTGTTGGCCGTTTTTCCCGCCACGGTTCCCTGAACGACATCATCCGTAGGGCTCTTGTTTCCATCAATGTTCCATCTATTTTAGAGCCCTGTGGCATTTTTTGTGACGATGGTAAGAGACCGGACGATTTAACATTGATCCCTTGGGAGAGAGGCAAAGCCCTTGTTTGGGACGCCACTTGTGTAGACACTTTGGCTGCCTCTTATCTAAGGGGTACTTCGGTCAGGGCCGTGTCGGCATCGGAGGCAGCTGAAGTAAGTAAATGGCGCAAATATGAGTCTTTATGTTTAGATTATGTATTTATGACATTTGCTGTTGAAACTTTAGGTCCGTGGGGTCCCCGCACATAATTTTTTTTTAAAATTTACGTTCTATGTTACGCCGCGGCTGCTTCTTCGCGCAGTGTTCTTTTCCCGTTCAAAGGTTAAGCATAACTATTCAGTGAGGAAATGCAGCTAGCGTTCTTGGCACCATGCCGCGTGTATTAGGTATATTACATAATTTGTAATTTTACATAGATTTAATCTTGTAAATATTAGATCAATAAAGATTGTACATTTCGCTTTTAAAATTGTATTAAACATTTACATTATTTAAACATCAATATTAACAGAGTTATTAAATTTTCCAGAACAAACAATTTTAGAATACCCTTACGTAAAAAACTGTAACGTAAAGTTAATTTGTAAAGGTCACAAAGCATATGAACGGGTTGAATGATTTTAAAGAGAAAAAACATACTGTTAAAATGAGAGGCTTGTAATGCGACGCTGTGGCAACGAATGAAAAAGTCTCTGAATGTATGAATCAGTCAGTTGTAGTTGTATAGGATGTTACAAATTTTGTTTCATTTTTACTTAATTAGTTTGTTTGAAAAATATATTTTTTTAATTATGGATTTTTTTAACGATTATTGGCAAGTAGCGTTACACGTGTGTTCATTTATTGTCGCGGTTGTAATGACACGCTGTATAATCAAAAAAAGAAACTGGTAATAGTTTATTAATTTTTACACTTTGTTTTCTCACCCTAATTAAACTTGTACCTTTTGCAGTTGGTTGGACACCAAGAACATTGGGAGTCGTTGAAATAGTTAATTAATCACCTTGGATACATTCTAAATTTTGATCTTCTGAACGTCGTAATAAGAATATTCCTATGAAGCATTCCAGACAAAGTTAAACAAAGCCGGGACTACTTAAAGAAAATTGTTATTATCCTTGCAGTTGTTGTTAAAATATCTAGTTTTTCTTTTTTGTTTGAATGAGTTTTAATGAAAAGCATGGCGCATAATAAGCACCCCAAGGGTATTGTATCGCCTTGGTTCAAAGTGTAAAACGTTTATTAGTACTTCGCTTAAAAATACAGATTAAAGATTAGATGGAATCTCCGAGAATCCCCCTATCCAAGTGTAAAGAAATATTGTCTTAATTATCTTTATTGTCGACAATAGAATTTGTGGCACTGAGAATACTGTATGAAAACTATTAGAATATTTTTAAGATTCGGATAGTCAACATTATTGAAATAAGATAAATTTTGTTACCAAAAAGTCTATTTTCGAAATTGCTCTTTCGTCTTAAATTGCTATTCGTCTAGCATTTTTAAACGATTATTGGGAACGTATCGTGATATCGCAGTCTTTCGAAATAATGGTTTCCTTTATTTTACTAAATGGACTTAGATTGTAACTTTTTTTACATTAAAACATAGTTAAGGAAGTGTCTATTTTTTTTTGAAAGAGAAGACTGACAATTAAGATTATAACAGAGTCAAAGAGATCCGGCCACACTCGTAAAATAGCCGTTGGTCCCATCCATTTCGAATCACGTATGCTAACCCGATAAAAACCGTGTAACAGTTAAATGACTGCCGCACGGCGCGGGGCGCGCTTTGTGCATGCGAAACGTGAATATTTGAAAGTAAACGCAAACGCGCCCGTGGGGTCCACAATAAACGAGTCGACGGGGACCTAACGATCCGACGTTTTATCGATGAAACAACCTTGTTATAACCAAAACGTATAAAGCATCGGGCAAATTTTTTTGTAAACGGGCCGCCCGGCAAGGACGCATTCTGCGAAGGTCTTATGTCTAATTGTCCACTCGTACGTCGCGACGCGTCCTTTGTCTATCGCGTGTGATATTTTAAAAACAATTACGAATTCACGATTATGATTGCGCGTTTGTTTTACGTAATGACTTGGTGTGTGTGTGTGTGTGTGTGTGCGAGCGTTAATATTAGATGGTCCTTCCGCATGACGATTGTCGTGAGAAAACACGACGATGTGTTGGGTTCGATTTTTTGCCCGATTTGTGTCATGTACTGTAACTTATTATCGCTGTTATAATTTCAATGGATTAGGGAGAACTAACGGGCGTATACGTGTCCATAATTTAGCGGATTACGCATGCAAATATAGCACATATTATATAAGTAGGTGCACGCAGTAAAGCGCTATTATGTGGGCTTTATATTCGGAACAAACTCTCGATACAAAAAATAAATATATAGTTGAATAATCATTGAACCTTTTAAATTTATAGTAAAAGTAGAACTAAGACCAAGTTAAATGTATGGTTAGTTAAGACATAATCGACAATGAAGTGGCATTTCTAGGAAAATTGTTTAATGAATAGTAAAAGCGCGGTTGAAACACTAATAGTTTAATGGGTTGGATCTCGGATACTATGCTCAGTTTTCTAAGTTAACTTAAGTTCGTGCTTTGTTAGTGATTTAATAAAAACAACAACCAGTGCGAAAAGCGATACTTAAAGAAAGAAAGAAAATACATTTATTTACCAAAAAAGGTCGCACACACCAAAAAAAAAAAAAAAATTTAACAGAAAATAAAAGGGTTTCCTATTAAAGAAATAGTGATACCGACATATTCAAGAAAAACATAATAATAAAACGAGACTGTTTATACGCCAAAACATTTTACTATCTAGAATTATAGCGATACTATAAGTTATTATTATACTGGCCAAGTAGTGGTTAAATAAATGATTTAAAATTTTTGCTTCAATTTGACTATGCCAACGCGCCGACATATTTTTTCACGAGAGAAATTCGGTGTCCATTTCGCCGAAATCCATCATGGCGGCGTCTTCCGCTTGTCAATCGCGATTGGGTTTCGATTCTGTGGCGAGGCATCATTTCGTTCAACGCACAATTTGTCAGTTTCCCCTGTGGCCAAAATTATATATCTTTGGGACGGTACACAAGACGAAAAGGAAAATATGAAGCTCTACTTATAAACTAAAGACTACTTATAACTAAAAAAAAGTAAAATATGTCCAGTTAATTTTTATTGAGATGTCACTTAAGTTCTAGGGGCAATGATATATATATATATGAAAGATATATTCTCTATGAAAGATTGTTTTTATGACAAGCTATCTAGAGCGTTTGACCTGATGTTAAACAATAACTGCCGCCCAAGGAAATTTGAACCCGTAAGATGTGTTTCCACCATATAATAAAGTGGGCTACTAAAGCCGGCTACCTCACTCACCAGAAGTATAACAATTCTACTTCAGGCCAGTCGGATGGAGCTATCCATTCGTGCAACAGCGAAGACTGTTGCGTGGTCTCACTTCACTTTCAGTTCATAAACTATTAAAGATTCATAGAAAGCCCCGCATGAGCTCATACGTGCGTAATCTACTGAGGATGAATTGACCTAAGGGCCATTGGGATTCGATGCGGACAATGGCCAGGCGATGAGAACCGCTCTGGAAGCGATTTGTTATTGGAGTGTTGTAGTTGTTTCGCATCTGGGTGTTTGTCCACGTGAATTTTATGTTTGTAAAAAGTCCTTACAACACAGGATAATGTTAACCTAAAATGAGGGCAATGTTTTTAAAAAAAGTTAAATAAAAAAAAATGTGTGGGTAATTTTGTACATAGAGGAGGCTATGGTTTCTTTGTAGCCACCGATTTGCGATCCACATTTAGCGCAATAAGTTATCTTGAAATGGCAAATTTATCTGTTTTCCTTGGTGTCTGGTGGTCAGCTACAATCTCACCACTGGTCACGTCATGAGCCTCAAATATGTCGGTGGGATGTATACATCAGTTGCCTACGTTTAAACCTCGTTAGAGTTTGACGGTAAACTTAAATTCGTAAATTCGAATTCGCAAAATTGAATCTAAATAATTAATTCATTGATTAGAAATAAAAAATATTTAATTATCTGTACCTAAAAGATTGCTTACTGGTAATTTTGATGCTGTATTTATGGAAGAACATTACTTAAACGATTAACTGTTTATTCCCGTTAATTACAATTTCCCGCTCCCCGTTTGTTTCACGTATACGTATGACGTAGTCTTTGCAAGTAAACGTTATCAGATTTTCTAATAATATTACGGAACGAGTGAAGGTTTTTCTATGTATTCGTAAGACCACCGAGTACAATCAGACCAAGCCAGATTTCTTACTAATTCGGTGCGTCCAACGCAGAAATACCTACCGACAGAATGAGGTAACGGAATAATTACTAGTGAGGAAAATAGTCCTATACTCTGCAAATGTTAATGACTCATGGATTTGCACGAGATAGGGCATTGTAGGTTCAAAAAATATCGATACCCGGAATTGTTAATGCGGTCATCGATTGCTTTAACTAATAGAATTTTAATATTAGTAATCGTATATTAATAGCGAGGTGTAGAACTAAACAAAACAGCGTTATTTCAATAATCCTATAGCGCACGGAGCATATGGCTCATAGCTATTCAATAGAGGGCAATTAATGTGAAGTGAATGTTAGAGGAAAAACCGGTTCAATTAATAAATTAATAATACCTAAATTTGCTTGATCATGAGAACTAGTGTGAACATACTGATACGTGACCTTGCATTTATCCAAAGACCCTTCATTCGGGTACATTAATGATTTGTTTTATTTTAGTTCCAAATTTTATTGTGCCACGTTAACGTAACCATTGAAGTGAATGCTTTAAGACTCTGCCCACAAATACCAGTTACAGATATTGATTAACTTTATTTATCTATTTTTACGGTGGTAGGGCGCTGCAGCAGCGTCGGCTGTTGCACGAATGGGCATGGCCGTCCGGGTAAGTACCACGACCTCACAGAAGACCAGCGTAAATTGGAAGTATGACAAATACTTTCGCGTTTCGCGTGGTGAGTGAGGTTGCCGGAGCCAAATTTTCAAAAGGTTGTCAACGCATCTGTAATCCTCGGGCGTGGCAGATGTCCATGGACGGCGGACCAAGTGAATACACTTAACATCAGGTGAACCGTCTGCTCGTTTGACAACTTTTTGCATAAAAAAAATCTTAAACATTGCTTTCATTGCTAAAATTAATACAGTTATTGACGGGATTAGGTATACACATATAAACACACGTGCAAATACACTCTTACGTATCCAGAAAAGTTACAAAAGATAACAGAGGTCTGCTAAAGGCGATTTTTGCACATCACTCGTGTACATCACCTTGATGCAGATACTTTACGTGAGTTATTCACGACAAAAACACGGACCTTGCGAGGGAGCAGGGCAATTGAAGACAAATCAACACTACATAAACTCCGTGTCTTTTCTTTGTTGGTTGAAGACGTGTTTTCAGTTTAAAGACCTATATAAAACATTATAGCGGTAGATGGCCCTTACAGGGAAACGTGACGAAGGGGAACGGGAGAAGAAGAACGGACGATAGATGGTCGGACGTCGGTGGTTGGTCGCAACAAGTATGCGAAAGAGTTACCTGGGCTCTGCAAATATATGAGGCCTGGGTGTATGAGAGCAGTGGGGGTTTTCGTCGGCGCGAGTCCAACATAGAACGCTCTTACCCCCGTTAGGGCCAGGTATGCGTAGGCATTACCCAGGTCAGCAAAAAGGGGCCTTATGCGAGGTGGGAAGTTAAGGTCGTTAAAAATTTTTTTTCTACACATTTCAAACGTTTTAGGAGATAGCCTAGATAGTTGACTCCGTGGCGCAGTTGCCAAGGTATTGGCTTCGGCGTCGGGGGTCGTGGGTTCGATTCCCACACGGGACAACTGTGCGAACCACAGACAGTTGTTTCGCATCTGGGCGTTTGTCCTCGTGCAATTCATGTTTGTAAAAACGTCCATACAAAACAGGAGAATGTTATCCTAAAGTGAGGGCAATATTTAAAAAAAGAAACAAGTTGTATGGGGTCGTAGCGCGCACCTGTCCTCCGGATTCCACGCGTGCTTGTGCTGCAGGTCCGGGTGGGCGGGCGGCGCGTCCAACAGCGCGTCGAGGCGCGCCGGCCTCGGGGGCTCCGGCGCCAGCTCGCGCGCAACCACCGCCTTGAACGGCGCCGTGCACTCGCGCGACACCGACTTCACACCGCCGGAGAGCTTTTGCCCCATGTTCATTCCCCTGCAGCGAGTGCGGGCGCGCTTCGGCAGCGCCTTGAGGCCGCCGCGCCGCGCCTCCTCCGCGCCGCCGCCGCCGCCCCCGCCCCTCACTGAGCGCACCCCGCTCTTGTACCTGCAATTGCAACGGTGGCGATAAGGAAAACTGAAACCTCACACAGGCCACCTATGTTTCAAAAACCTAACGATACAAAACTGAAACCTCACAGGGCTACCCGTGGCTTTTTCAAAAGGTAGGTAACATAAAGTGTTTGCAGAACTCGCACGCCGCAAATTTGCGGGTGATCATTGTTATACGGTAATACTGTTGGTTTGATAATTCAGATTTATATTTTATTAATCCTTTAATTAATCATGCGTCGAATATGTGTTTGTACTATATAAACTCCGATTTCGAACATCAGTGAATTTAGGGCTGAGGTGATAAACAGGCAAGGCCCATGGACATTTGCAAATCTAGAGTAATTGCAAAAGCATAGCTGTGTCAATTCGTTTTTGTGCTGTTACAATAACACATGACTCAGCCGTTAAATAAAGAATTACTCTATTCTATTCTCTAAGTGTTTGACAGGTTACACATACATAGTTGACAGGTTGACAGGTACAGTTTCTATGGGAAAATAAAATTGTTACTATTTCGATTTTCCATCCAATTTTCCATAATTTTTCATCGTTTAAACCTTCCCTGGACTGCTATAAATATTTCAAAACCAAAATTAGCCAAATCGGTCCAATCGTTATCGAGTTTTAGCGAGACTAACGAACAGCAATCCATTTTTATATATAAGAAGATAACGAAGATTTTTAAATGATCAAATTATATTGTCGATTTAAAATAAGTTCACAACATTTGTCAGATAATATTCAGTTATCTTTTACATATTTCTTATAGTTTCATTTAATGGAAAAGTGTTGGAATACAGCAGTAGGTACAACAAAAAATTAACCACGAAATACTAACTGTATTTCGTATCCACCAACGACCGATGCTGTAGATGTCAGTTTTGACAAATTGTTCGATAAATAATGGTTTATTTATTTTAAAGCCAACAGACCTCGAGCTCTAAAATTGTATAGAGCGATTTACTTTGACGAATTTATGCGGTCTGCATCGGATTCAGACTGTTCGAATATTATATTGGAATCAATTTAGTGATAAAAGTTTGATCTGAAACAAAAATAGAATGACTGAATATCGATTGACCACCGCGTAATAGAAGACCGGGCGCTTGATATCTATCGCTGTGACGTATCTATTCAAAGGGTGTGACGTCCACGGACATAAACACACAAACGCCGGTGGGCGCATTGCGATTGACAAATCGCCCCATTCAACGCAAACGCGTCACCAACGGCCGCTCTCAGGATTTCAATTAGCACTCAACTAGCATCAATTTAATCTATACGTCAAGTGCAGACTTATGATCTAAAGACTTTATAGTCTTTAAGACTGGACTTTATGTTAGAATTGACGCCTCCTTGTGCGATCGTTAGTGACGCACCGTTGCCCAACTCTATTGTTGACGAAGTGGAAACTGGTTTTGCTGTTGGTCGGTGAGCGGCCTGCTTCGATGTCGTCACGGCACCGCCGCCGTGGGCCGCGCAACGCGCATCTTATGTAACGGCGGCCGTGTCTAACCGTGAAAGTCGCCCGCTCAAAAGCCAAGGTTAACGCGGCCCTGGCGGCTCGCACTAGCACACATGCGAATGTAACGCGGCCGCATCTATAATGGCCTCCGTATCGTTTGTTTTTCCTTGACCGTGACGTCACGCAATTGCGCGCTCAATCACCAATCGTACGTGCGGCTAGAGCGCCTCGATAGATCGGTGCCGAGGCGCATGATGCCACGGTGGACACTCGTATACGAATCGTTATGTCTATGGATGCGAAGGGACGCCTAGTAGGCTCGCAAGCCACAAGGCCGTCTGCCTTTCCGTCGTCTAGAGTGGCTCTGCATAACAAAAGCGGGAAGTGAAAGGCGGTGAATGCGTCCCCTCCCGCCGCGTCACCTCCGGCCCGCATCGGCTCACTCAATCGGCGAAATATTTCCTAGAATTACATCAATAATCTGTTTACAACCTAGTTCCTAGTTGGTACATGATAACGGAGCTTACTTATACTTAAACATGTATTTGCGTTCTGTTTCCATCTGTTGAAATAGTTAAAAACATCAAGGCGAGTGAAAAACACTCAAATGTCTTAACTTCATTCCTTCTAAACTATGCATGCGCTATTATTCGAACGATCGCAGGCACAATTTAATATTCGAGCGGTAATCTGTCGGAGAGGATAATCCGGCTAGTTCGCATGGGCGGCGGTAAACAAGCCGCCCGGGCCGACACGTGACCGCTGTCGACGCACATATCCAACGCCTCGTGAAAATTATAGCTTATTTCGCGCACCGTCCAACTAACTTGCGAATAGTTTTTAAACAGACACGATAATAATCACAACACTGCACAGGCGCCGCGGCCGGGCGATGTTTTAATATTGGCCTGTAACGGCGATGACATCACGTTGCAATTTACACCGTGGGAAACGTCGACCATTGTATCGGCGTTATCAGTGGCCTTGTTACTAAAGTCTTGAGCAAGGGCCGGACGAATCTTTACACTGGACTCGCAGCCATTCGTCATTTCGACATTAGACTAGGCTCGGTCGTAGTTGCTCCGTCCTCATATTTGGGTCTTGTAAGGCGTAAAGGTATATTTTAATACAAATAATACAAATAATACAATTTTAATACAAATACACCACAATACTTAGCGGTCATAAGCCTTGGTGATTGCTCGTCCGTTTAACGGACTATCAGCACTACATATGTTTGTCACACGTATTTGCGAAAAGGACGCCGCTTGCCTACGATTAGCGTATTTTTACCGCTTCTAGCGTTTACCAGTGTAATGTTTTCAGAAATGTGTTCAAAGGCAAAAGATCGGGCGCGGTCGTATCCAACATAACCGTTCACGCTCGGTGAGAGGTGAATGGAACCAGCGAGCGTTGCTAGGCCGACTACATTAGCGTGTGCCTGCCCCCTGTCGGCGAGCGCGAACAATGAACTAGACAAACGACGCGTTGTGAACGCAGGAATTGTAAATATCCTATATACTGATCTCGCACGTCCGCTGGAGACGTCCCTCGGTCACTGGCCTCTTACGCGTTTCGAATTTATAGGTACCAAGTAGCTTCAGTTTAGTTCGCGAACAAGCTCAAAAAGATATGAGTAAAGTAAAGTAACAGTCAAGCTGTTATTTTACTCATAGTTGGGCAAAGGCCTCTCCTGTACAGATGGTCCAGCACGCGGGTCTACTGCGAATTGGCAGACTTCACGTATCATCGAAACATTTTTTTTGTTATTAATACCATGACCGAGCACGTGATAAGTCAGTACTTAACAATTTATTGAGTATATTGAAAAACAAAAAAAGATATGAGAGTTACGTTAGTTACAATCACCTGGCGGCTTACTCAGCTGTACCTCAAATTATACTAAGCAATCTTTACGCCCTGTTTTATGGGGAACCTAATAAAATATTATCTGTAGGATGTCAAGTTTTACTTCAAAAACAACAATGTATAAGAAATGACAAATGTAAAGTTCCGCTAACAATAACTAAGTCGAAAGATAATATTTTACGACGTTAAAAATGGAGCAGGAAGAAGATAAAATGATGGGTTTTCTTCAGGCAGAAGTGGCTAGATCTTTTATTCGCCGCAATATCGCAACAAAGGGAAGTAGTTATATTGAATGACGGGTTTCTGATCGACCTGTTTGCGTGTCACAAGACAGTGTAAGATGTTGCTCGGTGCTTCATTGTTCGGGGCTGGCGGCGACCGCCATTGTTTCATAATTCAAACTAAATGGAAGCTACAGTTACAGAGTTGGATAAACCCGTGTCGAAGACTCTCGTTTGCTTGTGTAACTCGACTAACTCCTTGTTTTATTTCGCTTTAACCGAGTCGCCGGAACTTGTGATTGTATTTCACATGATCTTTGACAGTTCATTGGCTAAGTTGGCAAGCGTCCCGCCTTCCGATCCATTCCACTTCCGAGCTCGATGATATTATTTATGCCCTTAAACATTATTAGTTTCATATTCAACGTTACGTGCCAATTTTTATGTGCAACGCCGTAACGAGGGCATGAGTTTAAATTCAACGTAGCGTACACAAAAATTATTTACGATAAGTATAATAGAACAATAAAAAAATATGGAAGCGTAGGTGTAATGGCGTCGTTTAGTATTTTATTTCACTTTCTGGCATCGTTTCGTGATAATGTTTTTCCTATTCCACAAGCATTATGTTGTGGCCAATAAAAAAGTTAAGCTTCCCCGTGTAGCGTTCTACGCGACTTCATTTTCCGACGCTAAAAAGTGTTTTAGTTTCGCAGACACTCCGTAGTTAACCGTACTACAGTCTAGAACATTCCTGCTTCATAATGTAGGAGTGGATGTAGTTTACGCAAACAAATTATAAGAGCCATCTGCCCAGCTTCCCCAGGGCATTCAGCCAGAACTTAATGCTGGCCGACGTCGAACTACATAGCCGTTGAAAGCTTAAGCTTATTGTTTGGTTTATTGTATTGGCTTCCGTTGTTGCTGGTAAATAAGTTATTCACAATGGCTTTATTTATCGCATGCGGACCCACACCGCTATACTGGCGGAGTAAAATGAATGGCATCGATTCGATTCTATCAAATAGTGATAGAAAGGAAACAGCGGGTCCCTTGAGAACGGATTGTTGTCCCGTGCTCCGTACTTCTCGGTGTTTCAAGTTATTTCGAAGGAAGTCAGTCTTGTAAGCGATTTTCCGTGCAAGTTTAATTTAGGAATCCTCTGAATCTTTGCGACATAGTATAGTTATTGTAATTTGTTGTGCAACCAAACATTTTAACTTAGCCTTTGGTAAAGATACGTTGAATCGCATTGATTACTATGACGTAGATGTAACTGCGTTGATTGCGTGCCGCGATTTGCAGTGTTATATTATTAAGCTTAATTACATATCCAGCCAGCTGAATAATATACTGGACTGAATATGGTATATATAAATGTATTTCATTTGAAATAAAAATGATATTGTTCGAAATTAGATTTTTATGAATGACTTTATCGGTATCTTTGAAAGCCGCTGTTTAATGCGTAAAATATTTACGCGAAAATGTTTCATATTTTATACTTATTTCATACTTACTGTAATCAAATGAAATTTATCATCGCATATCTCAAAAGCATATTGGAAAACGAAACAAGTCCTCTGTACAGAGGGAATTATACCGTAATACTCTCCATACGGGTAGCTTTATTAGACTTTATGATTACCTATCGAGCTCCAGTAACGAAGTAAGAAAAAAAAAATCATAAGCTTCATTCAACCCGATCCAAGAGGCGTTCAGAATAGAGTAATAACGATGCCTCCGGCGGATTACACGGGGTCGATGCAAAAGGAGATTATCTAAAGTTGTTCACGTGGAATCCTAATGATGTTGGTACAAAGCGGGTAAGCGTGGTGGCGACACGCGAGTGGACACGGCGATCGGCGCGGGATGAAATCTTGATTGGCAACATTTAATTTGGAGTACAAATAAAAACTCGGCTCACAAACGAAATTGAAACGACCCAGGCTGAATTGAATACGACTGCGGGCCACGGATTAATATTAATTGGATCACAACGCGTAGGTTTATGAATTGGCCGGATTGTAAACTCTACAGCGCTGAACAATCCTTAATTGGGAGAGCTAGAATAGATTTCTATGTAAATAGAATCTATCGCTATAGTCTTCATTCGCTGTGGAACGTTACTCCAATCTATTCCGTGTTTAATCTGCGGAGTCCGCGGCGTTTGATTATTTCCGTAATGAATTGCCACGAAGGAGATTGGTATCGTTCTTGAACAACTTTTAGTTTAAGTCTTGCATAAAGTTTCTGATGTAGAAAATCTTAAGGAATTATTGTGGTCTTGTAAAAAACAAACAGTGGATAAAGTATCCGGTTAAGAGAGACATCAGTAATGTGTAGGTAATCGGAATAAGTGATTGTTCAGTCGTATGCAACTAACCGGTTTTATTAATTTTCTACAACAAACAACAAAACGCGTGAGAGGGAATCCTTTTAAGTAAATATTTGTAAAATATTCCACGGTGAATATGGAATAATTTGTCCGTTTTTCCATTCAAAACATGGACGGATTGTCGTCGGCGCTGCGAAATACGGCGTCAACAAAATGGCAAGAAGGGGAAATGTTTACCCAAAAGCGCAACACAACAACAAAATAACTGCAACATTAGTGTTGAGCGCAGTCGACGTATTCAAAATGCAATTTCCGCCGACGATACTTTCCCGCGGAACATAACAGTTTTCCTAGAATTTAAACACCATTTTTCGTGGAATTTTTTCTCGCCTGTTTCATTTCACAATATAGAAACCGTTACGACTTCGTCTCAACGCTTAATACAATGTTATCATCGTGGGTGATTCATTTAATGTTAATTTTGTAATTAATGTAAAATGAGGGAAACCTATAAACCACTATAAAATGATATAGATCAGAACCGTGCATGGTGGCTTTTTGGAGCGAGGCATAAGCTTTGGTTGTCCACTGCTGACCTTAGGTTCAGAAGTTGACTTAAGGTTGAAATGACAATGATGGTTATGAAGCGTAATAAAGTTTTAAACCGAAATATTAGACGTCAAGGAACTAACTTATTTTTGTTTACAGCGTGATTTTCCTTCCTACTCTAATTGTGCTATCATTTATTGAAATCAATAACACGATCCATTTACGTCGACGCTAAATTTACATTACAAGATTGTTTATTGAAAACAGATTACGTAGTTACGAACTTATCAGTATTATTTCATAAAACGTGTGACATTGGCGATATCATGAGCTCACACGAATTATGTTTTACAAGAGACGTGGGGGACTACGCTACTAAGCTACCTAAAGATAATAAAATTGAAATGTTCGAAGATACGTGGCACAAATGAGCGTGTTGTTGAATACTGAATGCGTAA